TTTCAATTTTTGGCCATTTGGTATGATGCTGGCTGTTGGATTGTCATAAATGGCCTTTATTATATTGAGGTAAAGACCATCTATTCCAATTTTCTGTAAAGTTCTTATCATGAATAAATGTTGGACCTTATCGAAGGCTTTTTCTGCATCTATAGAAATGATCATGTGATTCTTATTTTTGGCTTTATTGATATGGTGGATTACATTTATTGATTTGCGTATGTTGAACCATCCTTGCATTCCTGGGATGAATCCCACTTGGTCATGGTGTATAATCTTCTTGATGATTTGCTGGATCCTATATGCCAATATTTTATTGAGGATTTTTGCATCTGTGTTCATTAGGGAGATCGGTCTATAGTTCTCTTTTTTAGTTGGGTCTTTCTCAGGTTTTGGTACCAGACTAATATTTGCTTCCAGGAATGACTTAGGAAGGATTGCTTCCCTTTCAATTTCATTGAATAGTTTGAGGAGTGTCGGCATTAGGTCTTCTTTGTATTTCTTGTAGAATTCTGCAGTGAATCCATCTGAACCTGGGCTCTTCTTGGTGGGTAAGGAGTTAATTACATTTTCAATTTCCTTAACAGAGATTGGGTTATTCAACAGTTTTACATCCTCTTGATCTAGCTTTGGTACTTCATATGCTTCTAAGAATCTGTCTATTTCTTCTGTGTTATCAAACTTTTGAGAGTAGAGGTTTTCGAAATAGGTGTTGATCTTCTGTATTTCTATTGGGTCTGTAGTGATTTCACCTTTTTCATTTCTTATTGCATGAATTTGAGCTTTTTCTTCCCTTTTTTAATAAGGTTGGCTAGGGGCTTATCGATTTTATTCTTTCAAAGAAGCAACTGTTTGATTCGTTGATTCTTTGGATGGTTTTCTTAGTCTCTATTGCATTGATTTCTGCTCTGATTTTTATAATTTCCTCTCTTCTTTTGGCTTTGGGTTTGACTTGATCTTTTTCTAGCTGTTTGAGGTGTAGCATCAAATTATTTATTTGTATTCGTTCTGTTTTCCTGATGTGGGAACTCAGTGCAATAAATTTTCCTCTCAGGACAGCTTTCATTGCATCCCACAGATTCCGGTAAGTTGTATCTGCATTTTCATTTTCTTTTAGGTATTTTTTTTAATTTCCTCTGTGACCCACTGATTACTCAAGAGTGTGTTATTCAGTTTCCATGTGTTTGCGGGATTTTTGCAGTATCTTTTATCATTAATTTCTAATTTCACAGTGCCATGATCCAATAACATGGAAGGGATGATTTCAACTCTTTTGCATTTATTTAAATATGTTCTGTGAGCTAATATGTGGTCTATTTTAGAGAATGATCCATGTACTGCTGAGAAGAATGTGTATTCTGATGTTCTTGGGTGGAACATTCTGTATATGTCTATCAAATCCATTTGTTCGCAGGTGTGATTCATTTCTGTTATTTATTTGCTCATTTTCTGTCTGGTTGATCTGTCCCTTGGTGTCAATGGCGTATTAAGATCTCCTGTTACAATTGTGTTACTGATAGTTTGAGTTTTCATTTTTGTTAATAGTTGTTTTATATAACTGGGTCCTCTGGAGTTTGGTGCATATATATTTAAGATAGTTATCTCTTCCTCTTGGAGTTTTCCCCTTACGAGTATGTAGTGACCTTCTTTGTCCTTTATGGTCATTGTTGGTTTAAAGTTCACGTTTTCTGCCAACAGAATGGCTACTCCTGCCTTTTTTTGGATTCCTGCTGCATGAAGTATTGTTTTCCATCCTCTGACTTTCAGTCTGTGAGTATCCTTCTGGGTTAGATGGGTTTCCTGTAAACAGCATATGGTTGGATTTTGTTTCTTGATCCATTCTGCTAGTCTGTTTCTTTTGATTGGTGCATTGAGACCATTTACATTAATTGTTAATACTGTTAAATGCTGGTTTATTGTTGACATGTTATCTCTCTGCTGTTGCATCTTTATCTTTCTGTTCTGTTTAATTATCTGCTTTGCTTAGTGGTTTTTTCCTTTGTGCATCTAAACTGTTTTTCAATATTTTTTGCAGGGTTAGTTTGGTGTTCATGAAGTTCTTCAGCTGTTCTTTGTCATGGAAGTATTGTATTTCACCTTCAATTTTGACTGATAGTTTTGCACCATACATCAGTCTAGGTTGCAAATCATTTTGCTTTAGAATCTGGAATACTTCACTCCATGCTCTTCTTGACTTTATTGTTTGTGCTGAGAAGTCTGCTGTGATTCTGATAGGTTTTCCTTTATAAGTGATCTGTCTTTTCTCTCTGACAGCTTTTAATAGTCTATTCTTGTGTTGGATCTCTGGGATGGTGATTATTATATGTCTGGGTGTAGTTTTATTTTGGTTATGACTATTTGGAGTTCTGTATGCTTCACTGATCCTGATGTCAGTTTCTGATCTCATGCTTGGGAAATTTTCAGCTGTTACTTCTCTAAATATCCTCTTGACATCCTTTATGTTGTCTCCTTCTTTTTCATTAATCCCTATCATTCTTATGTTATTCTTCTTTGCATCGTCTTGCAGTTGTTGAATTGTTGTTTCCTGATTCTTTGTTTTTTTTAAAAGATCTTTCCTTTCCTGTTCACTAGCTGCAATCCTGTCTTCAAGGTCTGAAATTCTATCTTCACTTTCATTAAGGCGGTTTTTACAACTTTCAGTGGAGTTTTTTATTTCCTGTATATCTCTGTGCATCTGCATTATTTATTCTGTTTGTTTCTTATATTGCTCGTCTAGGGATTCTATCTTTTTGTTTAGTTCCTCCAATTTTTTATCTGTGTTTTCTTTAGATATATTCAGAATCTCTTTCATTTCTTTTATCATTTCTTCTTTTATCTGCGAGATTATTTAGCGTTTGAATTTCTTTAAAGCTTCCTGGAGTTGCTTGTCAATTTCAGTAGCTATTGTGTCTGATATTTGAGGTGGATGGGATATATTTTCTTCTATATACATTGCTCCTAGGGTTTCTTGCGATGGGCTGGAGGTTTGAGGTTGTAATTTGGTCTTTCGTTTTGTCATTTTCCTATATTTCTGTGTTTCAAGTGTTATTTGAAAGCTTCCTCAGGATCTGTTGAAAATCCCCTTCTATGTTTGCAGCTACTGAGACTCTGGCACCATGCTACCCCAAGCCAATGGGCCTGCAGAACCAATGGCCCTCCTCTGCCTTCTCAGAACTCTGCAGTTCCAGACAAGCTGGGCCTCAGGGACACTGTGTGCCCACCTGCCCCTTGGAAACTCCACAGCTCCTCAATTGCAGCTGGGTTAAGTTACTCACCACAGGCCATGGTGCCTCAGGAATCTGCGATCCCTCCCTGCTTGCAGAGACTTCCACAGTCCTCCAGACACACGGAGAGGCCGATGCAGGCACCCCTGATCCACCCAGCTCCTCTTCTGCACATAGATGGCTAGGCGCGGCAGCGAAACAGGCTGGCCTCTGGGGATAGTGTGGGCCCGCCCACCTGTGGGAAGCTCAGCAGTTCTCCAAGTGCAACCGGGGTGGGGAGGCAGATGTAGAGGCCTCTAACCTACTACTCCACTTCACTACACCCGGAAGCCTGGAGGGTCTGGAACAGTCTGAGATTTGGGCAGAGTGTGCTGAGCACTCGCCACAGGTTGCGGTGCCTCAGGAACCTGCTATCCCTCCCTGCTTGCAGAGATACGCACAGTCCTCCAGACATACGGAGGGGCCGATGCAGGCACCCCAGATCCACCCTGCTCCTCCTCTGCACATCGATGGCTAGGCGCAGCAGCGAAACAGGCTGGGCTCTGGGGATAGTGTGGGCCCGCCCACCCGTCGGAAGCTCAGCAGTTCTCCAAGTGCAACCAGGATGGGGAGACAGATGTAGAGGCGTCAAACCCACCTCTCCCCTTCACTGCACCTGGAAGCCTGGAGGGACCCAAACAGTCTGGGCTGAGATATCCACAGACCTCCAGACACACGGAGAGGCCGATGCAGGCACCCCAGATCCGCCCAGCTCCTCCTCTGAACACAGATGGCTAGGCGCGGCAGCGAAACAGGCTGGCCTCTGGGGATAGTGTGGGCCCGCCCACCCATGGGAAGCTTAGCAGTTCTCCAAGTGCGCTGGGATTGGGAGGCGGATGTAGAGGCCTCTAACCCACTACTCCACTTCACTGCACCCGGAAGCCTGGAGGGTCCGGAACAGTCTGAGATTTGGGCAGAGTGTGCTGAGCACTCACCACAGGTTGCGGTGCCTCAGGAACCTGCGATCCTTCCCTGCTTGCAGAGATATCCACAGTCCTCAAGACACACGGAGGGGCCGATGCAGGCCTCAGCATGCTTTGTGCAGGCAGCTTTGATGCTGTGATCCAAGTCTCCTGAAGGTCAGCACTGTTATGTTTTCCTGACTCCACAGTCACTGTAATCCCAGGATCACAGCACTTACATAAAACAGAAGTGTAGCCAAGCACTTGGAAGATTCTCAAGTCCCAAACCAAGACACATGTGCGCCAGGTTCTTCAGCACAGCCCATAGTAACTTCTCTTTACTCAGAGCTCAACAAACTCCGTTCTCAGGGACTGCACCTCTTACAACCACTATAACAGAGTGCATTATGGGAAAAGGCATGCGCAGTAGCCATGTTGATTGTTATAAGTTGCCCACCAGCTGTCAGTCCACCACGTATGACAAAAAGTACCAAAACAGAATGTCCTATACATGTATTTTTATAACAGATATATTTATATTGTAATAAATATTTAGGTACTTGTAATTTTGTACACTAAAATATTAACAGTTGTAGTAGCTCAGGGACATGATTAGGAGTATTTTTAAACTTTATATTTTAATTTTTAAACAATTAATATTTTTCTACTGTATTACAAATTAGAGAGGTACACATTTTCTACCAGTTTAGGGCTAATTTCTCAAAAAGCTAATAGGTTAATTTGAGGTCATGTTCTAAATATTTTTCTCTTTGTCATCACCAATATTTATTTTCACTCCTTGCTTCAATGCCACTTCCTTTTCTGCTTAAAACAGGCCATTCAGAAAGGAAATACAGAAGTTGCAAGAATACATGCTGAAAATGCAATCCGTCAGAAAAACCAAGCTATAAATTTCTTGAGAATGAGTGCTAGGGTTGATGCTGTGGCTGCCAGAGTTCAATCTGCAGTAACAATGGGCAAGGTAAAATTTATTATCTGTAAATAATAGAAATTCTGCTACAGGGAAAAAGGAATTCTTTTATAATATTGGTGACAATGCTTACCAGTAAAACCCCTATGGAAATCAGTATGGTGATTTTTTTTTTTTTTGATACCAGCCAGGGATTGAAGTGCTTGCCAGGCAGGCGCTTATGCTGCTGAGCTAAATCCCTGGCAGTATTGTGATGTTATAAAAAACTAAAATTAGAAACTTGGCTTGACCAAGCTATACTTCTGGTTATATTTCTGAAAGACTTAAAGTCAACTGGCGCAGGCCTATAATCGCAGTGCTCAGGAGGCTGAGGCAGGAGTATCACTGTGTGTTCAAGGCCAACCTGATCTTGTGAGACACTACCTCAAAAAGACAGAAAAAAATTAAACTCATCATACTACAGTGATACATGCTTATCCATTTTTAGAATAGCAGCATTTACAATAGCTAAATTATGGAAGTAGCCTATATACTCATCAACAGATGAATGGATAAGAAAGTGTATATACATTGTGGACTACTACTCAGGGCATAAGGAAGATGAATTTTAGTTTTACATAGGAAAATGGGTGCATTCTGAGACCATAATGTGAAAATAAGCCACATACAGAAATTTAAATGTCACATGGTTTCTCTTCTATGAAAAACTCAAAATAGAAGCAATTTGAATAACTTTATAAAGTGAATATGGTAGAAAACAGCAAGGTAGACCTTTGTAGATGAGGAAGGGAATGTGGATGGAGAGGGGGATGGGAGAGAAGGGGATTAAAATGATCAAGATGTGGTATGTGTATGTTACAATTCCCCAGATGAATATAGTTTTATATGGCAAATATATTAAATAAGTGTAATGAGAGCAGTACATGTTGTCAGATAGAAATCTAACCCTATTGCAGGATGTTACACAGTGCTTGTAAGTGCATTTATGGATAAGAATGATGTCAGAGTGCTTAGGAGGAAAATGATTTTGGCAGTGGATTTTTGAAGTGAGTTCTGCTTACTTATCTTCTCATGAAGTGGATTGTCCAAGGTATAAGAATATAAGGTAGTTTAAATCAGATTGCAGTACATGTTTTTGTTGGTAAGGGAAAGGTAGACAAGTTTCATTAAGTTGAGCAATAATATATTAAGCAAATACAAAGCTGTTGACATTTCTTATAATAAATATGATATATCTGTTTTTGTACCCCAAATAGGTAACAAAGTCAATGGCAGGTGTAGTTAAATCTATGGATGCTACATTGAGGAGTATGAACCTTGAAAAGGTAAAAAAAAAATTACTTGATACCCATGTAGTATCTTTTAAGTGTAAACTTTTCTTATGACCATATTTTACAGATTTCTGCATTGATGGACAAATTTGAACACCAGTTTGAAACTCTGGATGTTCAAACACAGCAAATGGAAGATACAATGAGTAGCACTACAACCCTAACAACTCCACAAGTAAGATTAGTTTATTTTCTTAGAATAACTTCTTAAAATCACCTGACTTCAAAATATAATAGCTTTGTGAATCTAAATCTTCTCTGTAGTGCTAGATAAATACAGTCCCACAGTGTAGGTGGAAATTTACTATTCTGCCCTTCAATTCTTGAGGAAGCATTGGAAGACCATATTCCTTTTCTTGATTTGGAGTTCTGGAAATTACACTAAATCACATGTTTAGATTCTGGAGCCTAGTTCCACCTGAATGCTAATGGTGTTTTTATTAATTAAATACACTTTAATAAACACTTTGAAACTGTATTCATTAATGTGGTAATATGTCATATTCTGATCATCTATATATTGTGCAGTATTTAAGTCAGATTAACCATATGTATCTCTTTAAATCAGTTCTTTATGTAAAAAGTTTCAAAATTGTTTTTGCTGGCTTTTTAAAATATACAGAATATATAGCTTTCTATAATTACCTGCTATATAATAGCACAGTAGAACTTTTTGCTCTACAGTATTTGTTGAATATTACTGAAATGAGTGGAATACATGGAATATATAACCTGTGGTCTAGTACTTTGCTTTCCAAATTTATGCACCAAGAAGCCCTTATATGTGTATTTAAATATATTATATAGATGCACATACACAATACATGTTGTCTCATTGTGCATTGTAGAAAGAAAATAAAAATTTTGAATATCTAGAATTAGAATGCATAGATAAAATTGAATATTTCTATATTACAACATCTAAAAGGAGCTAAAGTAAATGAAATAGTTCTCTAGATACCAATAAATGCTAAAGGTTGATTAAAGCAAGTTACAGAATAATGTAGTATAATAACACATGTTTTTAAAGCACAGAAAATGCCTTTTAAGATGTGAAGTAAAAATGCACATACACAATACATGTTGTCTCATTGTGTATTGTAGAAAATAAAAATTTTGAATATCTAGAATTAGAATGCATAGATAAAATTGAGCATTTCTATATTACAACATCTAAAAGGAGCTAAAGTAAATGAAATAGATCTCTAGATACCAATAAATGCTAAAGGTTGATTAAAGCAAGTTACAGAATAATGTAGTATAATAACACATGTTTTTAAAGCACAGAAAATGCCTTTTAAGATGTGAAGTAAAAATGCCTAACATGTTAATGTCTATGGGTATGTGGTTTATTTTCTGAACTTTTTCTGTATTTTGGAAACATTTTTGAAGTAATCAATAGAGAATTTAAAATTAGGTTAAGAAAAAAGTTAATGGTTTGCTTAAAAAAACACATCTTGTGGGCAGATCTGCTATCATATTTCATGTTATGTTATGTTATGTTATGTTATGTTATGTTATGTTATGTTATGTTATTGGTACTGGAGATCAAACTCATGACCTCAGGCTTGCCAGGCAGGCGCTTATGCCGCTGAGCTAAATCCTCAGCCCCTACTATTATATTTTAGAACTTCCTCTTGTATGTTTAAAACATTTTGAATAACTAAGTTGAGTTTTTTAAACTAATCAAACTATTCCCTGAAAATTCCTATATCTTAATAAACATGTTAAGTACCCATGAAGAATTAGTTCCAGGACCCCCTGTGTATACTAAAACGTGAAGATGCTCAAGTCTTTTATATAAAATGGTATAGTATTTTGCATACAATACATCTCCATCCTCGCATAAAATTTAAATCATCTTTAAGTTACTTATAATCCCCGCTACAATGTAAAAGATATGTAAAGATTATTATACTGCATTCATTAAAAATAACAAGAAAAAAGTGTTTGTACCTGTTCATTACAAGTGCAGTTTTTCCCAAGTGATTTTGATCTGGGTTGGTTGACTCTGTGGTGAAGACCTTAGGAATTATGGAGAGCGAGCTGTAGTTATTTTTCATTTATCACTAGGTGTTTTTAAAAAATGTCATTTGTAATGTCAGGTGTGTATCAACTAGAAGAATTGCCGCAGTATTCTATTATAAACTTTAAGTTTGTTGCAGTTTAAGTAAAAGCAAAGTAATAGCAGAGCTTTATAAATTGGGTCACTTCCTTATTCAGAGAACTGCATTACTCGGAGATTCAAATTATGTGTGAACCTCACTGCTAAGATTTTTACATAGCCTCATAGTGTAAGGCTTGAAAACTTAGGAAAAAGTAATATTCTGAAATAATTCAGTTTTGTCTGGTGGTAAGATAAACATTTAAAAACCCTTCTTTTAAAATTTATAGATCCCATTTTAAAGCCAAAAACCAAACTACCAAAAAAGCAAATTTTATTACAATGTAAATTTTTGTTTTCTTATTCTAGAACCAAGTGGATATGCTGCTTCAAGAAATGGCAGATGAAGCTGGGTAAGCAGAGTTATTCAACAGCTTTTGGATAGTAGTGATTTAATATTTCCTTATTCTACAATTCTGTAATGTGGATAGAAATATTTATCTTTACCAGAGTTGTTCAAAATTAGGTTTCTGACTCAGGCATTAATGTCTAAGGGCCTTTTAATACTTACTCATTTCATTGTCACATTCATAAAAATCTGACTTTATTCACATCATCTTAGTATTTTTTTAAATCTCTAGTGATAGACTAGTGTGTGATAATATGAAATGGATGAAAGTAACAAGGGAGACAAAGTGTTTAATCATTTGCTTACCACGTACTGAACACAGCATAAACAAAATGCATGGATTTTTAAAAGTCTCTCAAGAAAGTTTTGTGATCAAGCCATTGAGTCATAAGTCTAGTTTGAGTCCTGAAAACTGACCAATATGTGCAATATGTCTAGTAGACTCAAAAGACAGCAACATTGGAAATGTTTTTTTCTTTTTCAAAGTAAATAATCAATACTTTTGTACTGCTATTCAAAATAGTATGTCTGATATGAACTCTTTGATTTAGAACTTTCTTATTTGGGTGGGCATGATTTGATAATGATATCTGGGCTACAGTTAATCATGTTATCAGTATTTTCTAATATAATATTTAGGTTAAGATAATGTAGTAGTAGGTAAATCTGGTGGTACACACATATAATCCCAGCATTTAGGAGCCTGAAATAGGAGGATAGCCATGAGTTCAAACCAGCCTGGGCAAATAGTTCAAGACCAATCTGAACAACAAAGTGAAAACCTTTCTCAAAAGAAAAGTGACTATAATAAAGAATAAAAGTATATTTTTGTAAGACAGAGATTAAAAGTATGTGATGTTAATGTTTTATAGACTTTTATCTTCTTTTTTTGTCTTTTTGAGATAGGTTTTTGCTATGCAGTTCAGCTGGCCTTGAACTCGTTAAGATATACTCCGGCTGGCCACAGACTTGCTGCAGTCCTCCTGCCCCAGCCTCCCTAGTGCTGGTATTACAGGAATAGACTTTTATCTTCAAAAGTAGATTAATAAGTTGAAACAAAGTTAATGTACGCTTTTTTTTCTCTTCTTCTGAAAAGAAAAGATTCAAAGACACCTAGAAAACAGAATTGTTAAATATCACCAATAGAATAAAGTTACATTTGTAAACTCTTTATATCACTAATGTGTCATTAGTAAATTGAAAAATCTGGATAATAAATTAAAAAGAAGCTATGCCATATTTGAGAACAAAACTAAACATTAGGTTTAATACTATTTACATTTGTTAGCATCCTGATGAAGCCCACATGCCAACACAAGAAAGTGACAAGAAAGGTGATTTTTTTGCTAAGTATTATAAAAAGAAATCTAGGCATTGTACATCAGAATACCCCATTTTATTAATAAGAGACTAACGATTTACTTCTGTCACTGCTGAAGACTATGTAAGATTAAGCCTGAAAATACAGCAAAAGGTCTAAAAAAATGAATGTTACCACTTATTTAGCCTTACTGAGTCTCAGTGATAAATCATGATCAGTAGGCAACATTTTGATGCATTTTAGAGAGGTATTTCTTAACTTTAGCAGTACTGACGTTTTGGACTGAACAATCCTAGGGGCTGTCTTGTATAATATAGGGGCTTAGTAACTTCCTAACCTCTACCCACTAGTTATCACTAGTAGTATTTCCCTTAGTTGTAACAACTGTTCATGTCTCCAGACATAGCCAGTTGTTTCTTGAAGGAGTTAGGGACCAAAATTGAAAGATTATGTCAATAATGGATGATGACTAGAGCAGTACGGATAAGTAGAACCAACTATATGGAAGCACAGATGCCCATGTTCAAGAATGTTTGAGTTTGTGATTCTTGTAACAGAATTTGAGTGTAGCATGTCTTTACCTCTCCAGCAAAAATCTGTCTGTAGCATCTCATGATGAGTGTTAAAATTATTATATTTCCTGTAGTGTTTTCAAACTGGAGTTGGCATAGAGTGGTTTAGAGATAAGCCAAAACAATAGGTACATCCTATAGGGATAGTACAAAGGAAAGTAAATGAATGGAGAGACATATGAAGGTAGGTTCAAATTCTGTCTTTATCACTGAAGTGATCTTGTCCAAATAAATGTACTTAACCTTTCTGAATGTCATTTATATTGTTGGATGCAAATAATGATTCAAATAAACAGGAGGCAGGAAACTGAAACACATTAGATATGAATTCTGAGGCCACATTTACGAGGTTTTATTTTTTTGTCTCATTTTCTGTTACCATGAAGGATCAGATAATGATCTCACATAAACCATTAGTTTAGTGCTTTGTTCAGAAGACCATATTTATTAGTCTTAGTATTTTATTAGCATTTCTATTATATGATTACCATCCATATGGATCACTGTAAATGCTCCATAAAATAATCTAAAATTTTATCTTAAAGTAGACATTCAGAAGATACTTAAGATCTATTTACATTAAAATTAGAATGTAATTAGAATTTACATAATCAGTCACATGAAACTTAGTCTATCTAAATCAATGTAAAATGCAGGATACAATAATCAAATTTGCAATATTTTTATTACTTTTTATAAAATACTTATATTAATACTCACTTATGCTAATTATTTTAAAATTAATTTTTAGGCTTGATCTTAATATGGAACTACCACAGGGTCAGATGGGTTCTGTTGGCACAAGTGTTGCTTCAATTGAGCAGGTAGATGTTGGAATTTATTTTGATTTTATGCATTTGGTATATTTAAATAAATAACTTTTATAAGTTAATTACATTTATAGTTATTTATATTTATGTATAAGAAAATGTATATGTACTTTTTTCTTTCATATATGGTATTCTTTTAACTATATCTTGATAAAATGGCAGAACATGATTAGCCTTTATCTCTATAATAAAGGGTACTATCCATATATGTACTATGTATAAAATGATTTTTCTTTCCTTCATAGTTTCTGCACTATTTTCTTCATTTCTTTTGACATGTTTAAAAAATTGAGCTCATAACATTATTATTGATGTGAATAGTTAGAGATTTTAAATCTTATTTAAAATGTGAGATATATAAAATATCAGTGATTTTTGTGAAGACTGATGATTTGTAAAATTTACTTTGTCTAGGATGAATTGTCACAGAGACTTGCTCGTCTTCGTGATCAAGTATAACTTAAAGAACTGGTGCTTCTATTTTCTTCACTTGCTGAAGTCTTTGTGTGTATATATAGATAAGTTGCCCTCCACTTACACTAAAATCTTTATATAGCAGGATAACTTGGATTCTATTTGTATATAATACTTTCTTTTGTCTCGCTGTAATTTCCAACATGTTTTTTTCCAGGAAGTTTCCACACGGGAAGATTTTACAGTTCTGTATATTATGTGTAAAACTGTGAGGGGCATATTTTTGTAGATGTCTTTGACAAAGTTAGCATTAATTTATTGTGTATTAAACATCTTCCTCAAATGTTACATCAAAAATATAGCATCGAGTGTTTCTAGGTAAAATGTTTTTTATAGAATAAAGTGTAGAATAAGAGTTTTGGGCTTTTCTTAATTATTAGTCATTTTTAATCTTCGTAGTGACAAGTGTTTCATAAACATAAAAGCAGTGAAAGTGTGTTTACTTAATATGTTTTTATATGTTTACTTAGCCAGAGGACCTCATATAGTGTCACACAATGAACACTACCGTATTCTGGGTTTTGTTTTGTATCCAACCAGAAGCACAGTTGACCTATAATCTGTTCTTCAGCTCTTAAACTTTACCATTAGATTTTAACCCCATAATTTAATGACTATTTGAATTTTTTAAATGTTTAAAAATTTCATTGATAATTTTCCTATCAACTAGTAAATTGAGCAACATTAAATCAAGAAATTAAGGTTTGCTCATTTTTAAATTTTCAGTTTGTTAAATATCATTAAGACTGCCATTTGTCAAATATCATTGAGTCATTTGTAGGAAATGATTGATTCTTGAGATCATAATGCTAAGTGAAATATATCAGACATACAAGCTTATATATCACACAGTTTCTTTCATGTAAGAAAACCAAAATGTAAATAAAGATAATAGAAAACAGGAAGGTAGATATTCTGTGAAAAAAAGGGATAAAGAAATGGGGAATGGGTGATGAAAAAAGAATATGCATTTTGTGTATGTGCCAGATCCTCACAAGGAATAAAACAGTTATGTTCTGAAAACAGGTACTAAAAAAAAGAAAAAAACATAATCTGGCTTTTCCTACTTTCAAATGAAATTCTAAAGCATACTTTCAGTGGTTTTCCTATGTATACTTACTTCTTGTTAATATATTTCCAAAGTTGACTAATTCGCATGATATTAATATCATTTACATATTTCCATATGATTGTTGATTAATTGCTCTTCCAGAATTTTGGCAAGTGTTTTTATGCCAACCAGCAAAATAACTAAAAATGAAAACAAAATGAGCCAACTCAAGTTACAACTTTTGTTAATTCCTGGTTAAATCTGTTCATGTTTTCTTTTTATGCAACTCTGTTACTAAGTGGAAGAAATAAAGAAGATGAAATGTTTTGTTCAAGCATGCAAATAATTTGGACCCGGTGGAACAGAGCATAACTTATGGTGTGGGTGTGGGGGACACCACAGGCATAAGACTGCTTAAATTTTGGTAGACCAGGATCCTTGGAAGAAACTTATTTGATGACCAGCTGTACTATCTGAATCTCCCCAGGAATATGAATATTTTACCCACCTGAAATGAACAAATCAGTATAGCCCTACAATTTTCTGATATAGCCATTTTAATGTGGAGAAATACCCAACTTACACACTTAATCTCGTATACTACTTATATATGTTAAATAGGTTGGATGCTTTTTCTTTATTTACTGCAAGATTTGTCCATGAAAAAGCTCCAGTATTTCTTGAAGTTCTATTGAAGAGTAGATCTGTTTAGAAGATATCATGCTAAAATGTCATACTAAACTATGATATTTCTTACCATGTATGAGCGAAAACTATCATTCACTGGTTAATGAAATGAGAAATTACTCTTCTGCTTTATTTGGATTTAATCTCTTTAACTTTCTTGGAACTTGACTATATGATTATGACTTTATTTTTTGGTGTGGGGGTTGAACTCATGACCTTGCACTTGCAAGGCAGGCACTTAGGCAACTGACCTAAATCTCCAGCCTGATTAGGACTTTAATGTGGGAACTTTTCATATTGTTTGTAATTGATACTTAGTTTTTTCTACTTAAAGAGTAAGCTTGTTGATATTGGAACATCTTAGCCACAGAAGATATTATTAACAAATTAAAATAGTTATGAAATAGAGTCTGTTTTCCATTTTGGGGGCATTTTGGTTTTTTTACTTGAATAAAATTAGTAAATTGTGAATACTGTTAGTTAAATCTAGAAATGTATAAATCTAGAAATGTATATACTTCTGGTCTAAAAATAACTATATTGACAGACATATCAAATTTATACTTCAAAATCATTTATAGACCCCAACTTTTACTTCTGGATTTATTGCTAGATTTTCATAAAAAAAATTTCGTTCTTAGAATTTGTTTTTAAACCAGTGTCCTCCGAACCTGTGAATTCCTACCTTGTAAGGATAATGACATTTTCCTAAGTATTTGATTATATTATTTAGTTAAATGTGTAAGGTCAAATGCTCAGAACCATTTTGCTATACCATTAATTAATGTGGCTAAAAAAAAACTCCTGTTCATATATCTGGATTCTTAGAATCTTCCATTTTCCTGTATACCACTTGAGGTACACATTATGTTCTAGATTATCTTACTTGGTTAATTTATTAGCAATAATTTTTATAGAGAAAACTGTACAGATAGAACAAATAAGTCATTATATAAGATTAATGCTTTACTTTGGAAAACTGCAAAATAGGCACATCTGGACCATTTGAAGAGAAGGTATCTATGGAGAAATTAATAGCAAATGATATATAGGATGACAGAAACAATTTCGGCCCAATATCTTTGAATCTTATTAATCTAGTAAAATCGTACCTTCAAACTAATGTCCACATTGGTTGTTGAGTAGACTGTAGAGGAAAAAGTCCAAGATCAGATTTTAAGTAATTCATGTATTTTCTTTTTTTATTTATTTTTAAATTTTATCTTAAAGAGGGCAAAACTAAACATAATAAAATAGAACAAAGCAGATCACAAGAAAACAATTTAAATGATAGAGATTTCAAAGCAAGACAACAGGAGATCTACAGTGGCTACCATAATGTCTCTTGTTTTCTTCTAAATAGTTGTCCATCTCTTTATATACAATGAATTCATACAAAACAAAATAGTATAAAACTGATTAGAACAGAGTGATGAAGAGATTATAGGCCTTCAAAGCCAGACAATAGAAAAATCAACAATGGCTAGCATAATGTCTAATTCTCTTCAGAATAGCTGTCCATACCTTTATGTGTTCTGAAATTAAATAATACAAAACAGACTGAAACAGCTCTAAGCAAAGAAGAAAACCATTATTGATTTTTGCAGCACAATGATAGGAAATCAGAAAGGGATACCATAATGTCTCTTTCTTCAAGGTAGGTGTACATTTCATCATGCATAATATAATCGATTCTTATAGCTGTTTAGGAGAAGTTCTATACATGTGTAAGCCTCTACATGTAAACCTATCCTTTCTGTATTCAAAGGAAAAACAAAGCAAAACAAAACAGAATGCTAAAAAAATACAAAACAAAAAAGACAAATAACAATAGCAAACAGCCGAAAACAATGATACAGGCCTTCAAAACAAGGTGGTAGGTGCATAACTGGGGTTGTTATTTTACACAATGGTCTTCAACAGAATTATCACCAGACACAAACATGCAAAATTGTTCCAATCCTATGACTGTTAACCATTTTGTTCCAAGAACTTACAGAAATTTTAGCACAATCATCTTAGCTATCCTAAGTGTTTTTATACAAATTTAGATATTTTTTCTTTTTCTTCCTTTTCCCTGAGATACTAGTTTTTCCACTTTGAGCAGATTCTTATCCTTTCACTATATTAACTGAGGATTTTGTATCTTATGTACTCTTACCATTTCTTACACTAGGGAGACAATACAGTATTTATACATGAGAGTTTGATTTATTTCACTTATGAATATGGTCTCAACTTGCATTCATTTATTTATAAATATCCCAGTGTGATCATTCTTTATAGCTGAGTAGTACTGCGTTGTATAAAAATACCACATCTTTTTTTTTATCCATTCCTTATTTGATGGGCATTTAGGTTGTTTCCAAGACCTGGGTATTACAAATTGTGCTGATACAAACATGGGTGCACATATATCACTGTGGTATGATGTTTTCAATTGTTCTGGGATATGCCCAGAAGTGGAATAGATAGGTCAAATGGGACTTCCAGTACCAGCTTTTGAGGAACCTTAATACTGACCTCCACAGTGGTTTCACTAGTCTGCACTCCCACCAACAGTGCAAAAGAGTTCCTTTTTGCCTGCAGTCTCTCCACCATTCATTGTTGGATGTTTTCTTTATCCTGGCCATTCTTTCTGGAGTGAGATGGAATCTCAGCATTGTTTTAATTTGCATTTCTCTAATGACTATTGATGCTAAACATTTTTTCATGTATTTATTTGCCATTTGTATTTCTTCATCTGAGAACTGTATATTCATCTCAGATGCCCAGTTTTGGATTGGGTCTTTGAATTTTGGGGGTCTGATTTTTTTTTTATATATTCTAGACAGAAGTCTTTTGTCTGAGGGACAGTTGCATAATATTTTTAATTCATGTGTTTTCAAATCCTGGCTCTGATGCCAACTTCTAACTTAGGCAATTCTTTTACATTGTGTTATATTTTACTCTTCCTTCAAATCTTTCCTGGATACATCATTTGCCTAAATTGAGATGAGTTCCTATAGTATAGCACATTCCCTTCATTCATTTTTGGTTTCTATATTCTCTCAAAGAATTCTAAATGCATTATTATGAGATTTATGGGTCTTTGAATCTTTTTGTTTCAGAGAACCTACAGAATATATAGTTTGACCCATCTCCTGTTGTAAGAAAAGACAACACCAAAGAGCTCCAAATCCATCACATTTGTTGAACACCTGCTATATGGTAGAAACTTTCGGGTACTTTAATATATTATAGTTTGTCTAATCATCAAAAGAATCTTGGGCAGGTATGCGATTTTCATCTTAATTTTTAAAGAACAGGAGAGAGGCAGATGATTTAAATGGATTGCCTAGATTCATATAGCTATTAGAAACCATGTGGAATTTGGTTACAAATTGTGTTTCATTTCATATCCAGTGCTCTTGCTACTGTGCTACTCCTAGGTTTATACCCCATCCATGGTGTTAATCCCAGTATATAATGTGCTGATTTTATTGCTGAGATAATCAACATTAGCAAAGTTCTTTACTAAAATAAAACATCCAGAAAAAAATGTATATTTAGTAGAGTATTTCTGGTCAAGGATTAATTCTTTTTTTTCCCAGTTTGACCTGTCAAGTAAAGTGACTTTCAAATTTGGAAATCACAGCCGTTTCCCCACAAACCAACAAATGAATTAATTTGTCACATAGTTAAGCTGTACTCATATGTAAGCTTTCCATTTTCTGCACAAAAAATATTCCCAAGCACAAAGATATATTGTAAAATTATTCAACTGAAATTGCAGAAATGAAATCTGTCACACATATTGATGCCATTTACATTCTTGTAATTTACTGCTACCTTACTGTACTAGCAGGTATATACAATTTTCAAAAGTGCTGTGCTGTGCTACAAACATCAAATTTCAAATACTTAATAAGCAGTTCAACGTATTAATCACTAAGCCATGGGTTACTTTGTGTGTCAGACATTTCAGAACTCTCTAACCTCCAGTTAGAAAAATAAAAATGAAATTTTTCAAAGAAATTTATTTTTGGACTGTTTTATGTTCTCACAGTTAATAACGGAAAGGGAAAAAAGTCTTCATTCATTACATCTTGTCATTAAAATAAAGTTGAGTCCCATGTTCAAAATAAAGTTTCATTATATGAACTTTGTGTACTCATTAGGAAATCTTACTCAAATTTGATCATGCTGGAGTTTACATGTTTAGTTTTTGCTTTATCAGAAAATAATATCACGCATAAAGATTTTTTTGTTACATAAAGGAATTTGTGTTTCAAAATAACAGTAAACCATGAAAGCCTTCTATATGGATTTAAATATTTCTTTAGATTTAGTAAACCATAAAGTCTTAAGAATCAATGTGGAGTTAGAAGAAAAGGAGTGAGTCATAAGGGAGGATTTTTTCTAAGTAATAGTGAAAAAACTCCCTGAGATTTATTAAGTGTTACCCAACTTGGTGTGCCTTTTTTATACTTTCCAGTTGGAATGCTCATTTGCAAAAGAAAGATACTGAATCCAAAGCCAGGTTTATTGTTTCCAGGTATTGCACCTATTGTGTCCCTCATTAAAAAAATTACTTAGCTGAGTTAAAGATCAGAGCATCATCTCACTAATTAAAGAGACCTGAAATTACTTTTCCTTGTTTTAACT